GATTGCAGCAACTAGCAATCAACGAACATCCATCCTATAGTTAGGCATTCAGGTAGACGTCGTTTGATATTCAGATTCCTTATTATTTCTTGTTGGATCTACAAATTTCAGCGTAATCTTTGCGTCAGTTTCCACTGTTAAAATACGAGAATATTTGATTTTTCAAGAGCACAATAAGCCAATGTTCGCTTCGATAAAAATAATTGACTTGATTAAGGAAGAATTACCCTCGATACGTTTATGTAAATGATTTGTAATGAGCATTACTCTTCGTAAATCCCGTCTCGATCATTTGGAAATTCACTGCGTGACTATGAGAAATTAAACAACGTATAGCATGCTGCCGACTTCATTGTGAAATCGTTTGTTTCTTAAACAAACTCGAAAATACATAATGAGTTAGATAAAAGACGGTATCCAATGACATCTTAGGGTGATGATTGTCATATTTTATCAAGAAAGAAACCATTGAAAATACCACTCAATCGATCTCATGAAATGTAGCAATCAATCCTTAATGCTTTCTCCTATTGCAAAGACTGAAATATCTAGAAAGGATAGTGAATATGATCGATGAATGATGAATAAATAATGCAGTTGCAAAAGACCTCATCTCGAAGACACTTCGTTGCAAGGAAAAGAATCGTCGAAATATTGTTTCGTTCCTCGTTGGAAGCAGATTCAGTGGATGTTGCAAATGTGATAAGAAGTACACAAACGTAAGCGGCGATGATAATCAGTTGAGCAATGGTAGTGATGATGCATGTATGAAATATTACGTAACACAAATGAGTATGAGTATAATTCATGTATGAGTTGATGTGAAGAAAGTATCGATAACGAACGAGAAAATGCAGAATCCACGAACGAGAAAATGTAGAGCAGCAACAAATACGAAGTAATAGTAATCGACGTCCGTTCATTGCTCATTGCGGCTCATTTTGTTAAACGATCTTCATTTGAGCAGCTCAATGTTTTATGCTAAGAAATGCTCGGCTGGCTTCCCATGAGATATGATGACAGATAAAAGTAAGTAACAAGGAAAACGTCACTGTCTGTATTAAAACATATCCACTCACTTTGTTCATTCACCGACAGCATCAACCAACTCAATTGCTTATGAAATCTCATTGCATTTCACACACAACTACAACTACTCTTCTTATTCGCTTCCCTAAGCTCAGTACAAAAATTAAACTGCACTAGATGATCATCAAGACAGATCTATCTGCTGTATATAACAACATCCATGACTTTCGTCTTTTGTTCACGCACATATAATGCAATCAAATGATAACTTACGTGTTCCGTTTTGAGTTCAGTGAAACAACAAATCCATTTCTTTAGAGCGCTGTTGATTCAAGTAACTGCTCCAGCTGAAGTGCATATCCGATAATCTCACTAAATTCTGATGTCATCTATTAGCTGATAATCAAACAACAACAAATACGAGCGCTTGTTCACTTATGAATAATGCATCAACCTAAGAAATTTTCGTCTGCTCATCAAATAGTAATGAGCCAGTAAAAAGGGTGTTCTCATTGTATCAGGGAATAGGATGGTTACAAAAAAAGTGGATTACAGCGATGCCACTTTGATTATCTGATTCAAAGTGCATTGCTGTTGAATTGCATCAATAGGTTATTTCGTGAGCATCATACCATCAGCTGGATACGTGTCAATTACTTTTTGCCAGAAATTGTCACACAAATCGAATGAACAAAGTCGAATTAGCATTTTAACTCCGAATATTAGTATATCATCAATAATGATCTTGCAGCGATCCCGATTCAATGAAGCAAACAACGAAAACTACATGAAAAAAACAATTCTTAAAGTAATCAGCCATATTTAATGGAGTGAAGAGATAAGGAAGAGTATAAAGTAAATGAGCAATTTAAGAAAAACGATTGTAATTTTGAAGAGGAATTGATGTTAGTGAATATGAAACAGAACTAAGGATATGTATATACCGCAACAGATATAAGATATAATCATGTTCATCTAACTAGCAAGTAGCAATCGCTTTGGTCAGGTGTTACTTCTAATATTATCACTCACATACACACACAAACATATCACAATAATATGAACATCGAATAACGTCAATACAGATATACGTCACACTTAACACTTTAACGCAACAAGTAACGACTTAAAGCATCTTCTTCACTTCATCGGTAATCTTTCGATTAACTCTTCGACTGTGTCCAACTCAACTTCATTAAGGCAAGCTCGAAGCAGTGCTCGTTCTGAAATTTGTCGAGAGATGGAATTCAATGAAGCTNAGTAAAAACAATCACCGCTAGCGAATTCGTGTAAATCTTATCAGTATGCGAAAAGATTGTTTCACTTGGGCATAATGCAGAAAAGTTGTAGAATGAAAGTAGAATCATTGCAAAGACAGAGTTAACTTGTAAAGCGGGACTTAGCATTAACAACAATAGGTGCATAAGGGCACAATACCTAATGGGGTGAATTCATGACATTTTCGGTTAGTTCTTCGCTAATTATGTAGCACATAACAGTTTTCATTTGATTATTGTAATTATAGGAGCATTCTCAATTGATCACTTCACCGTGCACGAATACATCCACACTTGTAAAGATTCAAAGCAACACCTTGTTCGTGAAATTATTCAATGCTTTCCAGTGATGAAGAATTTTCCTCCTTGGTAGGGAAGCTGACGATGTCATGGTAGAAGGATTGAGGAGGCTGGTGATTTCACTTAACTGATTTTTTTGCATACTTTCATTATAATCAATAACTAATATCGTCGAAATGACTCACTTTAACTCACTCTAATGTATCGCCTACGAGTGATGCATTGTCGGAGGCGGTGGACGGGGAGAGCGGCGGTAATGCATATTGCTGGAGAGATGAGTGGGGGTTGGTGGTGTAACATATCGCTAGGAGAATGGCATAGAGCGTGACCACTCGAGAACCACTGCTTTAATCAGTTTATCCGTTAAACTGAATTCAGAGTTTTGTTTCATGCGTCTATCTTCATCAACTGTACGTAGTCGTACTGCTGCCACTAGATTCATGGGTGGATTGAGTGTGAGAACAAATCTGTATCTTCAACTGCGAATTTATCGAAGATGAAATATAGCAATTGAACATTTAAAAGGAGTGCAGATGCTTTTTGTGATTGATGAATGAGTATGTTATGCACTCATTGTTGCTTCATTTTGATGTACAACGGTAAATGAACGTCACCTCAATGATGCATTCAGGAAATTGTTTTTTTTGCACTACTACACTCCACGGCAACCTTTGTCCAGTTTTTATTAATCCTTACCGCTGAATTTATTCACATTTTTATTGACATTTGTGCGAGTTAAAGATCAAAAATTTCTTGAAATGTGCAAGGGAAAGAAAAATTGAATGAGCAACGGAGATGGCATTGCTAAACAATAATAACTGATCAAAACGTCGAAAAAAACCATGAACAGAAAGAGAACCAAGTGGCGAGATTAGGTATGCAAGTTTGCAGGACAAACGAGTGATAAAAGAGACCGATTGTAGTGATAGTGATAAATGAAGTGGTCATAACAGTGATTGCAGTTAATGGTAGTCGTGATAATAGTGAACATTTTGAAAAGACTATCATTGTTGCTAAACGAAGAAATAGATGGACTGTACACAGACATTGTTCTGATAAAAACCTATTCAAAATCGCCGAAATACCAAACAAATAACCATAAAAGGCACGATAGAGAATGTCTATCACTCGAGAGTACATTTATGTCTAGTTCTTGATATCAGCTCGATAGGTTCAAGCAAATGGTGATGAGTGTAGTATTTGTTGGGGCTGGACTCATTCTCACATCAGCGATGAATATCTAAATGTGAGTGAATGATCTGTTTAGGTGGTGCAATAAATTTGATTTGTGATCACATTTACAACCGATCTGCTAATACACACCCACACCTTACGATCACCACTCGAAACTAGGGTATTTCGTTTTTGAAACTTGTATTCTTTTGTACTCAATCTGCTTAAAACATTTAGGAACGTCAAGAGCAGATAATCTCATAACTCAGCTCATTATCTGATGAAGGTGATACGTTTAGGTTCATAAACCATGTTTCTGGAACGTTGGCAGCTTTTCAGTTGAACTGAGACACGATTTATCAGGTAAAAACAAAAGATGAGAACAGGCGTTGAGATCATAACATGACAGATTGAGCGTCTTATTTATTACAGCTTCTTTCAGCTTCTGGGCATCGAAATTTCGATAACTTTCTTTCAGAAAAACAAGTAAATACAATTCAAAACCAATAACTAGTACATAACTACTGAAAACGGAGTTGATTTCGACGAAACGTCACACGAAAATTTAGTGCGCGTCTGGCCGAATCAACACAATCTTTAACAGTTCAAATTTGAATGAAAGAATCAATAGATAAATACAGTGAAATCAACAGTCCAATACGCCGTACAATATTACATTCTCGGATCATTGTGTAGTTGGCGAGTAAAATAAAACTTTGTCAATTTATAACACGAAACTATGGAATTTTGGTCAATTTTATGAACATATTTTGAAATTTAAAATTTCACAACAACAAAACCAGAATCATCACAATCACGAACAACAGAACAAACAAATTAACGAACAAACAAAAATGAATAACTCTCAGTTTGTACAACTAACAAATGTAACACATCACACCAACTGTACAGCTATACTCGTGACAATCCCCTGATGCATATGTAGTAACAGAACAACTGCAAAACAACCGTAAACATTCTTGCAGATTAAGATCGTGAACAGAACCGAAATTCTCATTGTTCTCTTCAGTTCTGCAAACATAAAACATAGGAAAGTAATAGACTATGTTTCAAGAACAATAATTAACGCCACTCCAGTCATCTCCATCAAACGCACTCGGCTCACGGTCAAACAACTTAAAATATCGTAATGTGGACATACGAACCGAATCGTATAACTGTACATAAGAAAAATTCAGCAAAAAAAAAAACATCGCAAGCTCAAAAGAATGATATATCTGGATATTTCCTTGATATTTCCATTGTTAACGGGTGGGGTGACATCAAATTGAATGTTTCGATAGTACACAATGTTTCGCGTTTGAAGGCGGCCACTTTCTGAATTTCAATTTCACATCCGAAAGCAAAGATGAATCGTTGAAGTTTTGTCAATTTTTATAAAAAGACTAAATGTTTATGAACCGAAGAATGCACTAAAAATTCATCAACTAAGATAAATCTCGCAACAGAAATGAAGGAATCGCGAATAAACGAGAACAGGAAAGTATCAATCATAAAAAGCCTGCTGACATGATCGTCAACATAAATCTTACATTTTCAAATCATTTCCTTCAGCATCGGAAATCATTCTATAATAAGAACTAAACCACACTACAACCACCTCTCCAATAAACGATTACTTCCCTACCCTATACTCATATTTTATTGATTCAATCGAGAAAAACACTTATGCATTAATCATAATATATGAATACCTGAACATTTGATATCCTCAAAAGGAGGGAAGCGAATCGATGCGCACTTTCAATTAGATCAAACTGTGAGTCGAGATGATTTCGTAACGAATGGAGAAACTTTTGACGTTCCAATTCGATTATGTTAATTGCTTGTTCTGATAGCGATAAGCATTCTGAAGTACATGAAGTTGATCACACTGCATCAATGGAACAAAACATTTCTAGAATATCTTCATTATGCAACAGGATGTAGCCATTATCTGCTTAATCATATAGGACTACATCACTAGTGCACTGATGGAGATCTGAACAAATGAATTGTTTTGAGCCGACTATTTAAACCACTACTGATAATTTAAAGTTGAAATATTCACTAATGTTGATAATTTAAAATCAATAAGCGCGACTTGATTTCACTCCTTATAAACACGATAATTTTGAAACTGGTAATCATATCCGTTCCTTAGCATATTTTACTTATAGCAGTTTATACAACGATTACAAAATTCAATCATTTTCAGTCGAATTATTATGTCGTTTCATTTCAACACAACAAAAAGGACGGAATATTCCATCTACAACTGATTTGCAATCTGTTGACCATCTTATGACAACCGTCTTCTCATGAACAATGGAACAAGATCATAGTTATATTTCAATGAAATGAAATATGACTATGATCTTGCACATGCAGAAATCGACAAAAAGCTTCTGTGCAAAAATAAAAATGCAATAACTAGTTTTGTCTCTAATGGGAAAAGTGAATCACTGATTTCACACAGTTACTACTGGTATTCAAAATCGAAGCAATGATAATAGAAAAAATGATCTGTCAAAGTTATATTCAACCACGACAATGCTTCATTTTGTAAGGCTGAATAAACACTGGTGAACTTTTAATAAGTTGATGCGAAGGCAAAGTTTCAACGGAAATTCGCGCTCATTTCCCTACTGAACCCAGGCTCAAGAGCGCCTTTAGTAAAAATCACAAAATTTTGCACCGATAAGAAATGTCATTAATTCGCACATATTTTTTCGATTTCACCTATCTACTCTACAGCTAAGAGTGACGCTTAAAGTCTGTTAATAGATTTCCATGAAAAGATTACAAATAGACGAACCGGGATCAAAGAGGATGATCGCTTGCAAAAGGACATATTCAATCCGAGTCATTCGCATTCTCCGAATTGGCACCAATATGTGATTGATTACAGCGACCACCGTTGGAATCAAACCACTGAAAATAATTCTGCATCAACGAGTCATTTCGCTCACTCGTTCTTGATGAAACCTTTGGAAAATGGACTAAAATCTTTCAAGCTATGCACGGAGAACCATTTTATCCATTTTCCACAATTCATCAAACTTAGATGAAATATTTTATCTTAGAACTGAACAAACAGATGAATGAGCTGTGTTTGCGAATATGCACCTACCTTCGTTCCTTCAGAACATTCGCTGTCAAATTCCGAAATCCAGCCAATCCGTCAGGAAAAACGATTCGATCCGTGTATTTTTCAGACGTATGAAACGCTTCGGAAAGGACCAAATTCGAAAATGCTGTGTGCACGATGAGAACATGCTGCAGAGAGGCGCAAATGATCTGTTGATCATTTATTTGCGATAACGAAACCGTACTCTCATGTCATAATATCAATAAGGCATTTTATGAACTGAAGAGCTCTTGAAGTAACGAAAAGAAATGAACGATCAAATGATGAGTTCATTCAGTTAAGCAAATTGTCATCAACTGATTTTCGACTGCCATTTTTAATTAAAAAATCGAACGCAAAACGCATTTACAAAATACAATAAGTAAAATCTGCTGAATTCTCTCATTTCAAGGAAAAACAAAAGATATAAATTGCTTCACAAACATAAAGTTCTTTTAGAGATTACAGATCAATTCCGTGAAAACGATTTTGAGTGATATTCAATAAAGAGGATACTATTTGCAGTTGAAATTCGTGAAGCTCAAAGCTAATCCCGGAAGTGGTTTAAACTCTTTCCACTCAAGCAACCCGTGTTCTCTCTTTGTACATCAACTAATCATGGAACTACACCACTTCCTCGTCGCAGCTCGCAATCAAATTTTACACCCTATTATTTTATCTGATCATTCATCGCAAGAATTCAAACTCTCCTAAGTTTCCAGATGCGATTCTCCCAACCATATCAGAGCTTTTCTCCGTTCAATGGAACGTCAACAAACAGTCACTGATATGAACAGATCAATGAGTTAAACAGTGAAGACGTGAATGAGGTCTATGCAAACGAAGTGATTTCAAAATCGAGATGGATTCAAACGAAATAACCAAAAAATGACAATATATCGATTCGAAACATCCGAAGAAAATGGCGAATAGGAACAAACATCTGACGGTAAGGTAAGCTTAAGTGTACCTTATCGCGAGCTGATAACTGCTGAAAACATTGAAATGATTTAGCCCATTCCATCAATGTCGATAATATTTTAGCTCGCCAATATGAAAAATTCATTTGTTCACCGGGTCGCATCTGTTCGGATTCGTACTATAAAACATCTGCATTCACTGAATGCGCTCGGAAACAATTTAACGCACTCTGATTCATTACTCGAATGAATTATGAGCAGCTTATGTTTACACATTCCATAAGTGCCTGCACTTGGTCATTTTCAGTAAAGCAATCGTATTCAACAAAATTGCGAACGCACTCCGCATAATGAAAACACACTAAAAACCCTGAATTTTGAAATTTGTCGAATTCATTTTCATCACACAATCAGCAAATTGAATATTCCCTCTAATAGAATGCTCACAGACAACGAAAATCTACTCAGCGTTGTCTGCGAGTGAATTCAGTGGATCACTGACGACTACGCAGTCAACTGCAAAGCTATCTTCAGAATTTATAAGGTGAGGTTGATCAAATTCAATTCGGTGCTATCGGGAAAAAATGTGTAAGAAAAAATGAAATGACAGGATAAGAAGCGACCTTCGAGAAATCATCAAAAATGCTCGTAGAATTATCGAGTGCTTCATCAATGGTCGAATGTATCGGTGCACTGGTAGAGGTAAGTATAACGACGAATTTATCTTCAAGATCAAGTAGATTCGCTACTATTGAATCTTGCACTTTACCGACATCCTCTTCAATGCGTTCGATATTTGCCGACTTACGTTTTCGTCTCCGTTCAACGTTCAGTTCTGCAACAAAATTCCCTTTTCAGTATTCATTGGTGTAACATTCAAAATGATCAATCACATTCGCATTCAATTTAAGACACGAAACGATTTATCCTCTGATTTAGAATGCAAGTTTGATCTACTGCAAGATAACTGATCACAGAGGTTATACTATCGCTTAATTCCGAAATCAGTTGCTCTGGTGCGAAATGAAATATCATCTGATCAGCAGATTACCGAATGAAATTGTGGTAAATAAATTAAATGCAACCGACAACTAAATGTTGTACACGCCTCAAAAAAAATCTTGTTTCCACCGTTCTACACTGATAATTCAAAGCAACCATCACGAAGTACTCAAGCATGAAGCAAATAGTTTAATGAAGTAAACTTTAAGAAAATGAACTTATAATATAACAGTGACGATAAAAGTATCAACAATAGTGATATCTTCAATAACAATTATCAACAGAAATGACCTGTTCTATCCATGCCAGCTCGCAGACATTTCTTAAATCGACAATGACGACACGAACACCGCATATCTTTGTCTATGGGACAGTCACCACTTTGCTTACATGAATACGTTCGATTCTCAAATTATTACCGCTATTTACATTATTGCTGTTATTGTTGTGACTCTTATTATCAATATTATTATTATTATTATTATTATTATTATTATTATTATTATTATTATTATTATTATTA